GGTAGTTAGAGCGGATGGAGATGCTGCTAGGGATGAATGGGAGCAAATCTTCCCAACGCTTGAAGGTCATAAAGAAGAGGAAGGAGATATTGAAGCTCGGCACAAAGGGAAAGAAGGAAAAGAGAGACCTAAAAATTACAGCTGACAAAGAGCACATGTAAAAGCAATGGAGTGTTTCCAAATTATCTTTTTTTAGAGAGGACACAACAAATATTAGTGGTATCACCCTGCAAAGAACTTCAGTGACCCCATGGACATGGGTGATTTAGTTGCCATGGTATCTCCAAGCCAAGACATGGGCTGCAGTCAGAAGCTAATGAGTGCTTGTGACATGGGGCATGATCTGTGAGGTTCCTCACATACAGCTGTGAAACTAAGGAGCCAGGGAACTATGTGTATTTTCCTTGCAGTATCATTGACAAAAGCTTTCTAAGATAATTGTCATTGGGCCATACAAATTTTCCCTTTTCATGTCAAAAGAAAGCTATAGTTAAAACAGAGGCTAAGATTATTTAGACTCCAGTCAAGTCTGTTTTTACATTTGAATGATCTGCCTCTTAGCCTACAGGCTCTTCAGCATTTGCAGTGCTGTATTAGATTAAAACTGTATTGTTTAAAACATTCACAGGGCTTACATACTCTGCAGAATTTACGAGAGGTCAACCTCGCTGGAAACTTAATAGAAAAAATAGGTAGGTGATGTCAATCTGGCATTTCTAGCATGAGCATTCTCACTGCTACCAGGGATTGATGTACACGGTTTGATGTTTCATTCCAATAAAAAAAATTCCTAGCAGCTTTCATGGTTCAGGATCATGTCCAATGTCCTCAGCCCTGATCATCCCAATGCCAGGGTTAAAACTCCCTTGGACTGACCATAGTTTATACAAACTCTTTGTCACTGCTGGAACCATGTCAAAGGAGGCAGAACACAGATATTGGTGGCATATGTGTGTATGACACATATCTTTTTTTTGGTCACTGCCTTTAGTATACAGGGCTTTTAGATTAAGTTTAAATCATATTTGTTTATTTTTAATGGGAATATAAATCCTTCTTGCATCTCTAAACATATAGTAGAGAATCTATAATAAGTAAAAAATCCCTGCTCTTTAAATGAATGTAAATAAATGTAAAATCATATACTGTGTTTGACATAATTATTTCTGTTAATGACGTATTCTTTTTGGGGTGAGGAGAGAAATGATGTGGTTAAAACTAATCCACAGGATGAAAATACAGATATCCAAATGGACAATGCAAGTAGTTTTTGTTAATTTTTATTTATATTGGTGTTTAATTTTAGGAAGTTGTTTGGACTTCAATACACAAATTGAAATATTAAACCTCTCTGCAAACAAACTGTCTTCCTTCAAGGTAAGTTGAGACTTTGTGTTTAATTTTGATGTTTTTAATTGGTACAAGGAAAAGACCTGACTTTTCCTTAGGATATTAGAGAACCCATTATGCACAGCTGTGACAGGAGTCAAAGAATGTAATAATCATTTTTACTGATTTCTAAAGGTTTTTAGATCTCTCTGTTTGGAAAACTTCTGTTCCCCAAAATTCGCTGTAGCAAGGACTGGAAATTTGTTAGAAAATACCCATTGTGCATTTACAATTCATATGCTTCCTGCGCAGTGTGCTCAAGTTTTTAGTCTTGAACATGGAGGAGAAGATATATTACATTAAATGTTTGGAAAAATAAAAAAAAAAAAAGATAACAGAAGCAACATATTGAGCTTGAGAACGTAAATACAATCAAGTGCCAGGCTTCACAGCAGGCATTATACAAACAATTAGTGAACTCGTCGTGGGATTTGAGAATGTAAAATTAGCCATAATGACATTTTCCTGGCCATTTGGCAGGCCCAGCCTTTTGTTTTTCCAGGTATTTGTGAGAGTGTTCTAAAACTAGGCATTGTGGAGCATTCAAAATTTTCGGTGTCAGTGATCCGGCCTTTTTTTTTCAAGGCTGAGAAAGATCAAGCCTGGGTTTCCAGGTTTCATCACTTTTCTGGAGTTATTTCTTCACAGACTGACCTTCCTTTTCCAAACATCCTTCATTTTCTTTTCCTAAAATATTTTAGTTTGTTTTCTCAAAAAAATTGTGCAACCACCAAACAAAAATCTCCAAAGCTTTATGTGAGTATTAAAAATATCCCAAGTTACAGAAGGTCATATTCACAACTGCTGCTGCATCTGTACTACTTTCTTCTCTCTCTCTCCTGATGTATTCTTCATTCAGTATAGACGCCTATAATTAAGATCTCAGTTAGTCTTAGTACTTAAATTAGTCTTTTTAAACTAAGAGTAATGGCATGATCCCAGAATCCCAGAACGGTTGAGGTTGGAAGGGACCTCTAGAGATCATCTAGTCCAACCCCTGCTTCAGCAGGGACACCCAGAGCACGGGGCACAGGGTGGCATCCAGGCGGGTTGGAAGATCTCCAGAGAAGGAGCCTCCACAGCCTCTCTGGGCATGTAAGAATATGACTTGTATAACACTGTACTGTATGTTATAGGTTCTTCATTATTATTATTTTTTATTTTTTCAGGAACTCACTAATTTGTCAAGACTATCTAATTTAAAAGATTTGGGCCTAAATGATCCTCAGTATGGGCCCAACCCTGTTTGTCTTCTCCATAATTACGTTATCCACGTGCTCTATCATATACCTCACCTTCAAAGGCTTGATACATACAATGTGTCTCAAAAAGAAATCAAAATTTTGGCAGAAGTAAGTTCAGATTTTACTTTGTAGGTGCACTAGCAGTACAAATGGATTAATTACTGATGATGAGTTCCTCTACATGACTTTCAGTCAAGAGGAGTGCCTTGTGTTATTGTTTATTACTTTGTTATGTTGTCAAAAATCTAAATTTATCATGGATCATTAAATTTTTGATGGTGGGGATAATAGTGTGAGAATCTGAGTTTAAAGAAAGAATACAATTAAGCATTAACCATTATTGTTATTATTAATGGTTATTATTATTTTATATTATTATCATCACGCATTGCTATTAATCAATAACCGAAAATTTAGGGACTTAGAAATCTCCTTGTATGTTATTTTGGAATCGTGCAACTTCAGGAGTTGTAATCTATGTTTTTTTGAGTATTTCAAATTTGCTATAGTAGTGCACACTACTTCTTCCTGGATGCTAGTGGATAGAACTAAGACTTTTTGTCTTATTGAAAGCTCGAATTACAGAGTTATTACCAAATAATTTTAATGAATCTATTACATAGTTCTAGAACTCGTCATAGGCTGGCAATGTTTTTGGAGTATTGCTATTTAATACTGAGCAAAAAGGGCAACAAAAATTGGAGGGACTTTTACGTGTCTTACTGTCCACTGAGATTTTTTTAAATCATGACAGATTTAACTTGATACTTGCAAAAGTAGGAGAAAACCTTCTGAATGCATTCCACTTTTTAGTGAAATAAGTAATATATTTTGGTGTAAAATAAGTAGTCTCAACCTTCTTTATGTAGTTGTTGGCACCCATACAACTGCAGAAACATGTGACAGTTAATTTGCCTTACTTCAGAAAAAGGAGTTCTTGGGGGGCAAAAATTGAGACACGTGAGAGGAAACATTCACAACAGCAACTGTTCTCAAATGAGAAGTATGGTTGTTGATTTATCCAGAGTTCATTTTCTGAATGATGCGATTGAATAGTGTTTGGATATAGACCAGAGCTAACTGAAGCATGTGGAATAATTCCATTTGAATCACAGCATAAACTTCTTAGTTACAGTGTTCATACAGTGGATTACAAAAGTGAGTGTTTTTAGTTTGTTACTAAATTATAGCAAGGCACTATCCAATGGTTGGTGTTCAAATACAGTCAAAAGGAAGTGTGCTGTATCTGAAAATATCTCGAAAAATGTTAATGGAATAAATGTAGCAATAATGCTGTGGTTTGCTGTCTCCTTCAGAAATAGGAGCTATGAATGGTTATATCATGTTCATAACTGATGAATAATTTTCCATTTTTCATTTTCAAAGACCACTGTTATGAAAAAAAAAATGTACTATAACATGCATGTAAAAAGCATTTATAGACAGCTTCATGACAGGCTTGAAAAGCTAAAAGAGAGCAAAAACAAACTGCAGAATTTGCCAGAGAGTAAGATAAAATTGTTCAGCTGCAACGTAAAACATGTAAGTGTAAGTAGCTTCACATGTCAAAAATGTATTACTTGGAACAAAAATAACAGTAACTTTTGGGTAAATTCTTGGATGGTTACATATCTTTAATAGGTTGATTCATTCAAATTTTGTCTACGTCAGTTTTTACTAGTGCTTGTAATCTATGAGTTTGTAAACAGTTTCTACTGGAAAGATAGCTTTTCTTCTGAAAAGCCAAAAGTGTCTAGAACATTTAATGTATTTCAAGAAATGCATTTCCAGTCTTGATTCTGGCAGGTTCATAATTATTTGAATTTCTCTGATTTCTCTGTCCTTTGGTAAATGCTTTGACCAATGGGCTTTTAAATGGAACGGCCGCAAGATGAAAAGCTTAGAGATCTAGCAGACTGGGTAGATAGTCATCTAGTGTGGTAAACTGAATTTCAAGTTGCTGCTTTTATGTATCCAGCTCAGATTTGCCTTGAATTTCCCCAGTGAGCTTCCAGATTATGAATTTTGCTTGCTCTGTTCGATACAATGAGAATTTCTGAAAGGTCCATGTTCATATTGAAAACTTCTGGAGGTTCAAAAGATGTGCTCTGGGTGTCCCTGCTGGAGCAGGGGGTTGATCTTTAGAGGGCCCTTCCAACCTCAACCATTCTGGGATTCTGTGATCTTTATCACTCAGGTCCCAAGTTACTCATTTTTCATGAATTAAATCTTTTGCAGCGTAATAGACTCAGATTGTAGTTGCATCAGGGAAACCACAACAATTTTAAAAAGTAAAAGGTCTATATCACAGATTTTATATACAGCATCCTGTAAACGTTCCAAGAAGTTTTTAATGCACTCTGAGTAAGCTCCTTTTGCATGTGTCTGCAGACAAATAACTGGAAAACATATTGCTGATGACATAAATCAGTCCCTTCAAATATTTTGTTCAAGAGTCAAATATTTTGATCAAGAGTCAACAGACCCTGGTCTCTTGCCAGGTCAGGGTAGTGCTTTTATTGTCCTTTCTTCCTCCTGTTGTTTGCCATAGATCAGGTTTGCCTGCCTATGCAGACATGTGGTTCACTGACATTATTGTTTTGACAGGAGAAGTGCCCATGGTTGGTGCGTATGTGAATATGCATTGGGATGTGTAGGCAGAGTGAGATAAGTTTGTTTTTTTTTTTTCCAAATAAGTGTTTTATGAAAGCTTTATTTTCAGGAGCCAATTCCTTGCTTGATATTAAAAAGGCATGAGAGGTGGTTTATTCTTAAACTCAGTTAACTCTGAGCTGTACAGTGGCTTGATTAATCCTGAAGATTACCTCTTAGCAAAGAACACAGAGAGGATTTAAACCTTTTTTACTCAGCTAAAATCTTTTCTTATGAGAGAACATAAATAAGAAAATTTTCATGCCATACTTTAACTAAACCTCTTTCCTCTAAATCCTGATGCATTCTCTTTGTCAGCTGGAACGTGAACTGGCTGAGCTGCAAATGTTGGGCCAAACATCAAATAATAAATATCTAAAGAGTAATAATCTGGAAACTGAAATTCCAGTTCATGACAGTGATGATGCAAATAAGGAGGCTGAAGAGTCCGATCTTGAAAAAGCATTCTTACAAAAAATAAATGCCCTGAAGGAAAGAATAACATTCTGGAACAGAAAACTGGATGAGTATGTTTAGTGAATTGTATAAGAATAATAATCTGATGTCTTTGAACATCAATAATTGAGTGTAATGGTAACTGGTAGTTAGGAGACTCACATTTGTCTCACATTTCTTTTAGATGAAGTTCAAACTGTGAGTACTGCAAAGGTCACTGAAGTGGCAATTCATATGTGATCTAAATCATTGGATTTGGTCCAGCTGCTAGCAGGCAGATGTTCCCATTACAAAATTTGTTACTGGGGATCTCGGTAAATAGGGAAAAGATTGAACAAAATATCAGGGATGAATGGTTTTTTGGACAAGTGCTTGCAAAGTTTTATGGGCCTTTAAATATTACGGAGATATTATAGAGAATATACAAGTGTAAATATTACATTTTTGTAGTTTATTATTCTTAATTATAGTTTAGAACTTCATGAGTGAAATACAGCCTAAAGGCAATGGCCAGCCCAAGGATTATATGCAGCATAAGCCCCTGAAATGGGGCATGTGGGTGATATCAGTGATGCTAGAGACTTAGTGTTGAATGTCAGCACAGGTCTGAAGCTGTGGGAAATTTGTTGCCTTGACTTGTCACTAATCTCAGTCTAGAGGCTCATACTGCTCCCAAGTTTAGCAGGGTTTCATTAGTGCTGCAATTTAGACACATGCTTAAATAGCAAACTAATAAGTTCTCTTCCTCCGAGGGGTAATTCTCTTCAGTTAAGGAATACAGCACAATATTGGGGCTGAAGTGGATGAAAATTCCTGTAATGGATCAGGGCAGGGTCTTACTGTCCACAATTATAATCTGGTGTGATCCATTGCTTCCAGATTTTTTAAAAATAAATAGTTCTGTCATTATTCATGTATCTATACTGATGCTTTTTTTAAAAAAGGAAAAATAATTCAAGTCTTGTTGTTATGTTGTTCCAGGAAAAAAAATCTTCTTTTTTCTTTTGCAGAATTGAAAAAAATTACGAGATGGAAATTCAGAAAAAAAAGAAAAGTTTTAACTTGGTAGTACAATTTTTGTTGACGGAATTGGAAACAGTGGGAAACATTCACTTTGAAGAAGGTTTATCAAATAATCCATGGCAAGTTCTTTGAGATACTCTTTGTAAGAGTTTACTCCAAGTAAACCTTGTTTCTTCTGTTTCTTAAACGCAAGTCAATAATTTTTAACAAAGCACATTCATTATAGGGATCTGGAGTGTTGTGAAGCTCCATTTAGATTCTATTTACAGGCAGCTGGTGAGAAAGGAAATACACTCTCCCCTCTCCTTGTCCTGGCTGTGTACTAGGGTGAGGCTTTGAGTCTACAAAGACTCATTATTTGCTGTCTTTATTCTTCATTGTCCATTTCTGAAGCCCTTGATTTAAAAATAAAAGGAGTAATAAAAGGAAGATAAACAAGCTTACCCAATAGCTTTCAGTAATAGCAATAGTGATTATTCTTAGTTCCTAGACAGCTTTGCTGGTTATAAAGCAGCATTAGAAATTGCTTACCTAATCTTTGTATGAATAACCTTGACACTCTTTTGAGAGGAGATTGAAATTTAGGTTGGCAGTATTTCAAGGACTATTTTCTGCTTGAATACTCCAAGCTTGTCCACCTCAGCTATGCCCTTTTTATGGTCGGGGATGCTTATTAGAGCTTCAGTAGTTTTGTGTCTACAGGTTCCATTTGAGGTTGTTTTTAAATAGCATTCTACTTTAAATGCCGTTTTCTCAAGCTAAGAACCTTCTTTGTTTTGGCAAGGAGAAATTATTAAATGATCCTTGTAAGGCTGAAAGCCAGAGCAAATGTGTTTGCATCAGTAATCCCAGCATGGAATCTTTCTGAGAAAGAGCAGTGTTTTAATTAATTGTAATTAAAAAAAAAAAAACCACTTTGCCTGTCTTCTAAGTGGACCTTCTACTGATTGAAAAAGGAAGGGAAGCTGATGCATTTCTAGAATTTGTTTCTTTTTCAAAGATGGCCAATTACAGAATCACAGAATGGTGATTACCTCACAATTTTTAAGGAATCTTGCAGTGCCAGTTGGAAATAGAGGAGTTCGTTAGTTTTCTGTTCAGTGGCAGAAAAAGGGGGCATGGATTTATTACGTTATTTGACTCAGGTACAAAAGGGAACACGTGGTAGAAAATACTGCGTTTCTGCCCCTGAATTCCTGGCTTCCTGGAAGACCCCTCCTCCTTTCTCAAGTTTGACCACAGAAACCTTTGTAAGTTCTCACAAGCCATGTTCACTTTATACATAATTGTAGTGAATTTTGGGGACTGCTCATGTGAATAATGAAGGATTTAAACAGATTTTAAGTACAACAGCTTTTCAGGTTAGTAGGTCCAGACTAATGAGGACAGGGATGTCTTTAACACTATGAATTCACCAGAACAGAATCAGTCCTTGGGTGTTTTAATGCAAATAGAGAAAAGAAACATGGTGAATGACATATAATTAAATACTGATGGTTGATGCTTAGTTTCACATCCAATATTTGAATTAAGTGAACTATTTGTCTACAGCCGAGAGAACATACTTATAGCAAAATAAAACAGGCTGGAAGTATGGCTTGTGATTCTTTCTTTTGAAGAGTAAAAAGAAAATAATGTTATAGATTGCTTTGAAAAATTCATTGCAAAACCAGAAGGTGTAATTAACTTAGTGCTGTCTTCTGCACACAGGTTTAATTGCTGTTGTGATCTAATTCAATCACGGTATTGTTTCTGGGACTTCAGATCATATGGTATCATAGGAATGAAAATAAATCGCATCTTCAGAGTGCACAATCATATTCTGAGGCTGAAATATGAAGAGAAGTTTCAAATGTTTCTGGAGAAAGAAGTTTTTAGTACAGCAGAGTAAGTGTCTCAGTTTTAAGAGGTCTAGTATAGGACTAACGTGAACAAAAGAAACCTCTTCATTTCAAAGAAAGATCTGTTTTGGAAAGCATTATATAATTTAGAATTGCTAAGAAGTTTTTCTGAGGTAAAGGTGGCTTGAAGTTCCCCAAAGTCCCTATACCTGTTGTTTCTCTGACTGGCGTAAGGTCTTCAGAGGTCTATAGCTTAGTAGACAATGCCAGGCACGATACTTGATTCCATTTTGTCATTAAAATCTGGATCTTACCTCAGCTGCTCTAATGTGGTTGTGAAAGCAGAGTAAATAAGGCCAGATTTCTGAAAGCGATGATAGAAAAATAGTGCAAAAACCACTGCCCACCACTACCACAAAACAAACCAACCAACCCACTCAAATACATATGCATCTGCATTTGATCTGCATCACAGAAGAGCATTTATCTGTTAGGATATCTCTACAGATAAGTGCAGGTGTTTCTATGCAGGTTTCAACTTTCGAAATTTGTGTCTCTGTAGTGATTTATTTCACTTCCTTCTAAGACTCAATCTGAGTCTCCTGATGCAGCCATGATATTTAAGCAGTGGCCAAAGCAGTTCATAGAGCTTTGCCAGCAGTGGAGCAACAGTCTTAACACTCCTGGTTGCTCACTTAAGGCCAGAACCCCAATGACATCTGGTTCTTTCTTTGCATATTGAGCAATTTCCTCACCTGATGTGTCTGTATTTATGCAGTTACAGTTATTATTATTACAACTAACACAGTATTTTTCATCTCTTTATGTACATTTGCTATGTATGTAAGAACATTTTTACATATAAATATGTGTGTGGTGTGAGTATAGAAAAATAAATTAAATATAAACTCATGGTGTTAAACATAGAAGGTGAAAAAGTCAGGACAGAGCTCCCAGTTCAGTAGGTCCTGAAAGGTAGAGGCTGAATTTTACAAAAATAAAATTTGGTCATTTGTAAATCAGACTGGGTCTTCTGGCTGATAGCTCCTGCAGAGCTGTGGGCTTGGATGGAGCTGGAAGACCTTGTCAATTATGAAGGCAAAATCTCATCTCCCTGAGAGGCAGCAGCTGGATCGCAAGATTGCCCAGTGCATTCAGAACATTTTAACTTTTATGCTCAAAACAAATTTCCTGGGATTCAAGACATGCCCTTCTGAGATGCAGTGTTACAGTCAATGGTGTGACATGATGGAAGATAGAATTTTTTTTTCTCTTTTGAGGGGCCATTCCAGCACGATCTGAAACAGATTTTTTCACCCCATGGTCATCTTTACATGAGACTGCAAATGCAAAATGACTCTTCCTTCTAGAGCTTTACCTCAGATTATTTCAGATAGTAATCTGAAATCAGACAGTTCAACTACCCACACTCTGCACTTCATTCTGTCGAGACAGAAGTCAGATTTTTGACCAGCTAATATTTTGGGGGTTCTTTTTATTACCTAGAGAGAACAAAACTTTTCATGCCAGAAGTGGCATTTTATAGACTTTTTTTTTCAAGGAGAAAAGAACAGTTATCAATTATGTAGTATTCATATACAGTTGTGGTTCTGCTGTCAACAGAGATTCTACTATTCTGTTTCCTCTTAGGCAACTGTTACCTTTCAGCCAAGGATATCAGCAAAGTAAAGACTAGCTATTTTAGAGGAAAATAGAAATAATTTTTTTTATATATATAGTACAGGAAATGGATATTACTCTTAGAAATTATAGTGAGGCAGGAATAAACAATTTTGTCTTGCAAGTAATCTTTTTATGTATAACATAGTAAACATCGATATTATAGAATTTGTGTTGCTTACATCAGTTATTTCTAATGAATACTGTGCAGTGTATAAACTTTGTCTAGGCCAAATGTCTGTTTTTGCCTTTTGCCTGCTTGTGCAGCAGAACAATGAAAACCTATTTTGTGTTGTTCTTGTTAAGACACTACAAAGAGAAGGTGGACTATCTCTTTTATGTGTTTAACCCTGAATTGCCAGTCAATGAAAAGCAGCTGCTGCAGCTCCTGGAGGATGGTTTGCAGAGTCTGGCAGGGCACACGGTATGCTGCACTGCGGACAGGTGAACGCCTCTGTTCAGTAAGATAAACAGCAGAGAGCACTGCTGCTGTTTTTTTTCCTTTCTCCTTTCATTATTCTCCTATTCATCTTTCTTACTCTTCCTCTCTTTTTGTCATATTTCTTCATGCTGCATCTGCTTCATTCTTCACATCTTTACACCATCTGGAGCCAAGGCTTGATTAGTTGTTTTCCAATTTTTGTCCTCCTTTCTTTGTCCGTTCTCTTTTTGCTGCAGATTCTTTTCTCACTCAGCACCTCTCATCAGTGCCCCAGATGGAGTTTGCAGGGACTGATGCAAGATTAGTTTGGAAGACACCACAAAAAGTCCTGTAACACCCGTATTTGTTGCCTATGGAATAAATTGGGTCATTGTTTGTTCAAGTCCTTTATTTTACAATATTCACTTGTATTTATATGCAGAGAGTGGTGTATTATTACTTAGTTCTTCCTCCCTACAAATGCTGGCACAAAACTTAGCCAGGGTTTTCAGCTCTTTCAGTTCTGGTCATCTAGGTCTTACAAACATACTCCCAATTTTAAATCATTTTCCTTTTGTTCTTAATCCAAAACTGAAACATTGTCCACTGATTTCTGATATCCCCAGATGCTTAAATGTAAAGGCCCTGCAGGCACAGATCCTATTTGTCCACCTGTTCTAGTTTGGGTCATAATCCTAAGAATATTTAGTACTGCCACAGGGACCCCTTGTACCTTCAGACTGAAAAATAGCTAAATGAAAGAAATACATGATTTTGTGAAGTGTAAGAAGAGAATTTAGAAATAAAGGAAAGAATTTTCATTTTGACTTGTGAAGGAAGAGAGTTGAAAATAAAATGAATTGAGATCAACACTTCTTTCTCTAATCTCCATTATTCTCATTTTCATCTTTCCAACCTCTTGCACACCTGCTAGAGATCAGATTTTTGAGAAGCAAGATAAATATCTTCAAATCTAGTATTTATTGTGCTGTTCTGCTTTATTTTGTTTATACTCTGCGTAGTTTTCAGAGTTCCCACTGAGCTCACTTTCTGTGACATGACATGCTCTGCAAGCATACAGGAAGATGTCCCTGTTCCAAAGTGCTAGCAATTTGATTTCATTTTCTCTTATTCTTTTGAAATTATTTTCTTCATTTCACTTTTTACTTTCCCTCCTGCCATCCTTTTAAAAAAATTGGTGTTGTATTTTAATGCTGCTTAGAATCGGTGAGATTTTTAAGGAATAGTCTTAATCAAATAGAGGTATTTGGACATTGTTTTAATCTTTGCAGTTGCCTAACACAAAGGAAGCTGTTCTTCTCTGTAACAGTCTAAGTACCTGCGAATGCCCCAGAATAGAGTTTTTGAAAAACCAAGCCAATACTGAAGGCAAAAACAGCAGTGAGCCTGTGGAGTCATTCAGGCAAGGTAATTCAAAAGTTTGGAAAAATGCAAAATCAATGACCTTGTATCAGTAATTGTTGTATCTTGTATTTTAAGTCTAAGGACATTTTGTAAATACTACAGGTGGTCAGGAGGTAGCGTAGGCAGCTTTGAAGGGAATTCTGAAACTTTGTTGAAATCCAGTGACCTTTTTGTTTGTTAGGAAGCCCTAGGAAGCACTTGGACTGCTGGGAGTAAATTCCCAGACAAGGATTAAAATGTCAATGGGGGATGACATACCTAATTATTTCTCAGGTTATGACAAATCTTTTCTAGTTCAAACATCTCGAAGAAAGTGCAGAATGAGGAAAGGCACAAACATATTGTACTAACCTATGTCTAGAACAAGACACTGAAGGGGAAAATAGAAACCAATCTTTTTAGTCTGGTTTCCTAAAAACAAGTGATAGGCATTCATGCTGCCTGACTCTGCCACTGCAGTGTCTTAGGAATCATCAGAATTTCATCCAAATTTGAAAGAGGTTTAGAAGTCTCAAAGGTAACTAACCATTCACAACTCTTTTTTAACCTAAACAAGGACACCTAATATTTCTAATTTCGCTGGCTTTAATACTAACCAGTTATAAATGTTGGATTTCATTATATATTTTTTTTTCCTGACAGATAGATTTGTTTAATGAAAAGGATAAACACAGAATCACAATATATTTAAATACATTTTATACACACACATATATATAAAAATGCATATAAACCATACATTGCCAGCCCAAGATGGAGCCTGCTGCTTGTTACACTACACACCATTGTTTTATTATCCTGCTCCCAAGCTAGAATTAGAAGCATTAATATTAATTGTCTTTTCTTCCTGCATTTAGGGAAAGTGATAATTGCAAAAGTTTTCCTTGGCCACAGTGTTCCATTTTGTGCAATGAATCCCATCTGTCAAGTCAACTACCCCGGAGCTAATTCAGTATTCAGGCCATGGAAATGCCTAGAAAGTGATAAATCTACTCCTGACAATAGTATGTATCTGTAGGCACGTGTTAGGATGAAGTTAAGGTTATAGCAACATTTGTATTCTAAAATCATCTTCCATGTACTTTGGATTGTGTCAAGTGATTTGATTCCTCAGAATGCAGTCTCTGCTCAGCTGAAGAAGGACAATGACAAGCAAGAAACTCCCCATCTTAGTGCAAGCAAGATGTGCCACTTTGCTCTTTAGTTCACACTAAGAGTAGCCTGCTTCATATAGTTTCATACCCACTCTATCTTTGTACTATGTGTTTTAATAAATGTTGGAAAGAAGATTGGAGATCACAGAGATCTTCACTTTTAAAATCCACATTCTTTATTTTTAAGCAAAATAAAAAAAAATGCTGGGAAATACCCTGTTATAAGTAAGCAAATTAAATCCTTGTATCACATGCATCATCTGAATGATTTTGCTTTAACCTATTTTTTCCACAAGAGACCACAGTGGGAACTGTGGAATAGTTTTACCCATTGATGTCTTTCAAACTTTCTGATGCTAACAGGAAGCAACATCTGTCTCTATATACAGGAGCTGGGATGGCTCCTGGTTTCTAGAAAGGGAAGAAATGTAAGCTAATTTGAAAGGTGATCTCACCATATGATGAAGTAGTTCTGGACACTGCAGCAGGGAGAGCAGGGCAGGAGAGCTCTCCATGCTCTCAGGGTCTGAACTAGTTCTGCAGGATGCAACCTCCATACTGGAATCTACCATTTGCATTTTCCACATGAGAGAGACACTTTATACTCTACTAGATTCGTATATAACTGGAGCATTTTCATGGAAACAGATACATTTGATTCATCACATATTGAAATGAATTCCTTAACTTCATTAACAAATAATATATTTCTTTCCTTTCTTTTCTTTTAGAAGCATGGTCTAGGTTGGAATGGAGAAAGTGTGACTGCCGGCTTCAGCAGTACGAGTGGTTTGTGTTTGATCATGAGCTAGTCTTACCAGAATATGTTGCTGAGTTTGAGTACACTACATTGGTATGAACTTTGTTATCCTTAATGTAATGTTAGAGGGGAAACTTTTGATTTCACAGATAAAAAAGTAAAAAGCAAATAGCTAAAAATAAATTCTGCTTTACTCACAGGATCTGATTATTCCAGGTTCAAAGTTTGTTCTGTATTGTATGAGAGACAGATAAAACATTCATGAAAGTCTCTGAGGATCTTTCTAGTCATTAATGTGGGCGTTAAAGCTCTGCTTTTGACTTTTAAAAAGCCCAACAGAAATGAGAAAGATTCTCTAATTGTCAGCAGATGAATAGAAACACTTCTGAAAACTAAGTCCTGTCTCTCAACGAGGGGCTATGGAAAGTAAAGCTGATGTTATCAACAGAGGAAATGATCTCGTCTGCATGAATTCTTGAGGGAGCAACTGATTTTTATTTTTTGGTTGTGCAATATGCGCTTTTGTAAAAGGAAAAAATATTTCTTTTATCAGCTAGGATATTGAGCATATTTTTCCATAATTTAAAAATAATACAAAAAAAATGTAGTGCTCTTTTTAAGCCATCTGCTACCAACATGCAAGGGCTTAATTCAGACTCTGAGTGCCTGTGTTAGGTAGAAGCAAGTGTACAGGAAAGCAGGAAGTTCAGCTCTGGGGAAAGGAAGAGAAGGGTGGAATTCAGGTGTGCATCAGCCCTGCCTGGTCCCATGGCCCAGCTGTATGTTGCTCTCCTGTGATTCTTCCACTTCTTGAATTCCAGTGCATAATTGTACTACTTTGTCTCTAGCCAGCGTGGGTTACAACAGCCTATACAAACAAAAACATCCTGTAATGTGCAGCGATTATTACACAATTAAACCCAATTTTCAGCACATCAGTGCCACAGAAAGATAATTCCATAACTTGTTTCCTGCTAAAAAAAGAAAGTTTACAACTTTCAAATGCATTTTATTTTAAATAGGTCAAAGATCAGTCTCTGTTTTCTACGTGCAATGTAATTGTTGAAGAGGGAAAGAAAAGCACAGAAGGATTTATTCTGCCTTATGATTTGCAACGTGATGATGAAGTTTTGAATATGCAACCACCAGTAAAAGCCAGTACTAAAATTGCTTGCTTAGATGAAAAAACAATGCTTTCGGTGGCTAAGGCCAGTATTTTCAGTCAGGTAAAGGTGAGAAATTTCTGTCAAATTTACAATAGGAAAAAAATGTATTATATTACTGATACTGTGTTGCTCATGACTCATAGAGTTAAAAATTAAGGTTTCAATTTGAGCTGGAGTCTGATATGCTTGCATTTACTTGATATGAGTTGCATGATATTGAACAAACAAAAAATCAAAATGTATGAAATCAAAATGCTCACTGTACAATGTGAATAGCAATTGTAGGACTGAATCCTGTTTACATTTCTCATTATATAAAGCACAAGTAATTCCAACGAAAAAGAGCTTAAATGAAGTGGATCTGAGAATAGGACATGACTTGAACTATCAGCCTTTCCTTCAAGTTTTCCGGAATAAATGAGTTTACAACATCATACCGATTGCTCTTGAAAATATTTTTTGTCAGATTTGACATCAGAATACAGATATAACCTAGTGAAAAACATTGAAACTATGTAGCAAGCTCATTCAGGGGATATTCGTTTTCCTAACTCTGACATTGCATATATAGCATTTCAGTATGGCATTTTCAGTAGCTTCATTTTCTGATGAAGTCGCCTTGCTAAATATGTGATTCTTAATACTGAAATAATTTCTACACTGTCCCATTTTTAACTCTAGTTTGTGAGCTGATAACATTTCCTATATTTGCTTATTATGTTTTCAACCCCATTTTCTTAAAGTTTCCAAATAATGTTTTTCTTTCCTACCACTTATTTAGAGAGAATGTTAAGAAAAAGCAGAATGAAAAATTTCTTCCTGTTTTACCAAAATGTTATCTTTCAAGTAGTCTGTATTTGGAGTGAGATTCTAGCAATTCTTCTCTCACTTTGCCTTTTCCTAAGTATTTAGTCTCAATGGATCTATTGCTCATTGTTGCTGGGCTAATCTCTTTCCATGCTGCTCGCTAATAATGGAAGAGTTGCCAGTTGCTCAGAGTCAACAGGATTTCCAGTAAAGAGATGAGTAATTCCCAATAAAGAGGTGAACTGAACAACTATCTTCCTGTTCCTTTCTCCTGTGAACAGACCGGCTGTCTGACTCTCCATCTATTCAGGCCACTGTTATTTCAGGGAGAAGTTACAGGACATATAGTCTTCAAATAAGTGAAAAATAATCATCATATCCTTTAGGCATTTTTTCATTATTTTGTGTTATTTGGAGTCATGTTTTATATACCTATGGTTCATAGGATAGGATAGTATTTAGATTTGCACTCTAGCTGTAGCAGCTTTTTCATTTTAAAGGCAGCGTTGGAGTATTACAGAATTTAGTTGCCCATCTGATAAAGCTGTAATTTCTGCTGTACTTTCTGTCTAGGTTTTGAATTTGCATGGAAACAGCCTGAATAAGCTACGGGACATCTCTAAACTAAAAAGACTTCAAAAGCTTATCATCAGCTTTAATGAATTTACTTCCTTAGATGATATTTATGACTTGGTGAGACATAAGCTCAATAGTTTTTAAGGAACATAAGTTAGAATAATATTCTTGAATGGGAAAAATATATATAAAGTTAGTAACGTAACAGCAAGTACAAAGTTCTGTGTCCTTGAACAAGTTCTTACGCCAGGTTTGTAGCAGTGATAGGCAAGACCACTTGAACTTTTCCCAATACTAGTAGCAAATACTGTGATAATGTTAACTAACCCTTCCAGACAAAGAAGTATTGAGAGAGCAGGGTGAGAGCTGGAGAGAGGATCTCTTAGTTGAGCTGATCCTCTTGAGGGTTGAAATTTTTTGAGGGTTGGAATCTTTTCAGTGGTGGCCACCGACAAAACTAGAGGAAATGGCCAGAAACTGAAGCATCAAAAGTTCCACAGGAACTTAAAAGAAAATTTTCTTAACAGTGAGGGTGACAGACACTGGTAAAGGCTGCCCAAAGAGGTTGTGGAGTCTCCTTCTCCGGAGATCTTCAAAACTCGCTTGGATGTAGTCCTGTGCCACGTGCCCTAGGTGATACTTCATGTGCAGGGGCGTTGGACTAGACGACCTCTAGAGGTCCCTTCCAACCTTAACCGCTCTATGATTCTATGAAATCTCTCCTGGGAGAGTTCAGGCTGTGTGGAGGCTGGAATGCACAGTGGTGCTGTAGGACTCCTTGCTCTTCTGTGACCTGCAATAGTAGATTTACCCCAACACAAGCTTCTTCCTCAACTGTAAACACAAGGTGGGTCCACTCCTCAAACAGCAGCTCTGTTCTGCACTGCTTTGCAGGCCCAGAAGTGGGATGTTACTGACTGGGCCAACCGTGTCCTGGCAGTTCCCCCCAGGCTCTTGCCCTGCTCAAACAGAGAGGACCTGCAAGGCCTCACGTAGAGGATGTGGGGAACAGACATGAGAGCATTGCAGGCTGGGCTTACGGAACAGGAGTGGGCCTGGAGACACACAGTGGAACAGAATGGGCTACTTAACTAGGGTCCCCAATACTGACACAGTGTTACCCAGCAGTTTTCATGCCTGTTGGATCTCCAGATTGAATCGTTGTATCAAAGTGATACCGCAGCATCTCTCGTCAGTTCTTTGTAATGGCCATTTCAACCAATAGATCAGTACTGAGTGGGGCACCTGAATTCTGTTTCTGGCTTTGCCAATGGCCTACTCCATGTTTTCAGCAATGTAGCCTTTCCTTTTTGACGACTGGCTGTTAGTCAAGCAGACGTGGAACACCAAGGTGTTCTCTGAGGCAATAGCTCCTCTGTTGTCCTTAGAGGGGCATGAATGGAGCGTCTTCATACTCATACCGAACAAGGAGAATCCCAGGTATTAGATCTAATTAAATCTCTTTCAATATCAGGTAGGTCTGATCAAGGTTTCTTTTGCTACAGTTTTGGCCCTACAGCTATCCTCAACCCTGTGTTGTCTTGCAGCCCAACCTCGAGTATTTTGATGCGAGCCATAACCACGTGATCACGCTCGAGGGCCTTCGACGCTTAAGGAAGCTGCGGTGCTTTGACCTGAGCTGGAATCAGCTGAAAAAGATTAGGGAAGAAATAAACATCTTACGTGAACACACTCCCAACTTGCTTAGTCTTGACATTGCACACAACCCCTGGCATAAGGTACATACCAGTGCTTGGAATTCCTCGGAAAGCATTCTAACCAGGACTGGCAGTGATATTATAAAAAGTTAAAACATGTTCTTGTTTTCTTTTTTTTTTTCTTTCTTTCTTCTTTTTTTATTATTCTAAGGTCCTCGCAATGTAAGAAGCCTTTTGACTATGTTATGGCTTCTTCGTTGAATAAGTTGTGTGTCACTGCTGGTAGGGGACATCTCCAAGGCACAGTTCCTTTCTTTTTTGCTTCCCATAAGAATTGATTGCCTTTGTGGCCGTGGCAGACTTAAAAAGCTAAGCTGTGTCTTTAATTTTGCTGTCTCAGCTGCATGGAATAAGAGGTGGGAGCAGAGATATTTCCCTGGCCTTGGGGATATGTGTATGTGCTGTTAGTCTTTCTGTTGCTGCCCATATCTCTGTGCAGGAGCGCAGCTGTGCTGGCTGGAGCTCTGGAGAGAGAGCCAACACTCAGCCTCTGTGCAGACTCTCTGTCAGTCCCCTCTGCATCCTGCCCAGACAGTCTCTGCAACAAATGTTTGTTCTTTATTCCATTTGAATCAAGACAGTTTAATATTGTTTAACAGAGCCGAGTCAGAATTGGCATTGTTAAACCTTGTTAAACCTTACAAATAAAGGGCACTGAAAGGCTCTTAGAAAGTCTTTTTTGGTGACTATTTAATATTTTATATTATAAAGCACCATTTTAGAGCAATTTGATCAACATCCTAACTTGGGAGGCAGAACTTCATTGGGGCATCCAAGAAGCATCCAGAAAGATGCTTCTTGCTCTATTTAGCCTGTTATTTAAATTTCACTGATACTTGTTGATAGATGCTTATGAATATATTCCAAGATGTAAAAGGAAATGATAACAGCTACTAGTTCTGGTCTGTGATTCTTTGCTGTTATTACTGAGTTTTCTAGTGGACCAAATTTACAATTTTATTGTCCTTTTTGTGTCAATGTTTTACCTATTGAGTATTAAGAAATGACCAAAAATGTCCTTCTCCAGAGTTCTTAGGTATCCAATCACAATGTCTAATTGGTTCAGAGCAAAGCAGAAGATCCTTTTTCCTTCTCAGAAGATACATTTGCTGACCTAGCTCCTGAAAGATTATATTTGAAAGATTATATTTATATTTTTCTCAAAATGTATCTGTATTCCACCCACAAACAGAGATGTTATTATTCTATATGTGAAGAATGTGGGTAGTTGAGCATATTCTGTATGTACGGGATAGATCCATGGTGATATCTTTTTGGTAACACCTCTACATCCTTTACACATCCCTCTACATGTCCTGTGAAGCTTCCTTTGACTTTTTAATATATTTGACTCAGAAATGAAACTGTTGTATTATAAAACACATACTAAAACTTTTCATATGTCAGTTAACTTTCACATAATCAATTATGTGATGACTATCGCATGAAATCAGGATAATCAAAACTAGCCTGAAGATACCATGTCTCATGTGTTTCTGGCATGCTGCGTAAGCAGGGATGACACAGTGACTCCTCTGAGGATTATGGCAGGGCTCTAACCTTCCATGAGCTGACAGTAGGCTAAATAGAAACGAAAAGCAAATCTTACTCTGGTGTGTAATGTGTGTTAACATTTTTAGAAACTCATAGCACTTTATTTCTTTCTTCAAGACAGCCTCATTGCGTTTGAGTGTCATTGGCCGATTAAAGGCTCTCAATATCCTAGATGGAGTCGTGATTACTGAAAATGAAGCTGCGGAAGCATTGCACTATATTGCAAGATCAAATATAACCCAGGTTTGATTCTTCCATTTTGCTGTAACTTACAACAACTGCTGTGGTTTGTCTTTGCTCCTGGCAGTAGGTCAGAAATTATTTACTAAACGCTGGTCTTCTAAAGAGCTTTGCTACTACCCAAATATTGTATCCTGGCATGATATTGGAAACTGTCTTGTTCAGGTTTTGCTGAACATAAAATACAAGAAAACAACTGTGTTTGCCAGATAGAAACAATAGAGAGAAAAATAACAGACTAAACCAATTATTTTATACTCTTGTTTTTCTTCTTATGTAGACTCAAAACCTGGAATTTGTTTTAATGTCCTTTCAGAGAGTAAATCCGCAGAGTGTTTTATGAGCAGAAATGAAATGATTCTTCCTAACCACTGAGCACAAACATCTTCTAATTAAGCTGTGGACTATATCCCAAAGCACTCCTGAAGCCAAAGCTGAGTCTAAGTTAATGCACTCAATGGGCTCTGCCAGTTTGAGCTGAGCATCATTATAATAATGCAATTTTTGTATGGTGAGAGCACAGTTGCAGTGAAATTGTGTCCACACACAGCGAATGCCAAGTTCCTGTCTCTCTGCAAAGAGCTGGCTAAGTATCTTCACCGCTAATCAAAGACAAACAGGCTCTAGTTACTGCAACATGTTTTAGGGTCATCTACCTTTTCTGTTTTACTTTGTTGAAAACCGAAAATTTTGTATATGCAAGATGTATAGGAGTCTAGCAAATCTAGTAAATTTAGATCTGTGGTTTGTTATCTCCATGAATATATGCCCTTCCCCTTCCAAGAATAATAGAGTTGCTGCTAAGCCCATTCATATGTGTTAAGCTATGGACTGTACAGTATGTCTAGTTGTGTTATCTACTTACAGTAAATATTTTTTTCCTTTCAGGTATCTCTGTTAGAATATTCTAGGACTGATGAAGAAAGTCCCCCTGTTCTTAGTGTGCTTCCTTGTGCTAAAATTCTGTCTCAAATTAGCAAAAACAAGGTGGATTCACAGACACATCTTAATAACTGGTATTCAATGGTAGGACTGATACAAGTACTTAGTGCTTATACTAGCATTTAGATGAATGCTACTTTTAGATGAAACTAACTTTTAGATGAAAAGTTTTCATTTGTGGTCTTAGTTTAATGGATTGATGCCTTTGGATTCAACTGCATTCTTAAACAGATTCAGGTTTGCCTATTTGTTATATTAATTGTTATATTATTTCTGGGGTCATTTCCAGATACCTCACAGAAGGTCATCTATTAAGTAACCTTTTTTGCAATTCAACTGCTTTTATGGTTAATTTGATTAATTAATATCTTTTAAGACAAGAGAAAGGTTAAATTCATCTAACTTTGGTCATCTACAATGCAAGTGCCCACTTTGAACTAGTCCCTCTAGGCTTCTTGTGGTGCAGAAACATAAACACCTCTGGTTTGTGAGTTATCTGAGAGTGGCTTACCTGGACTTACCTGGCATATGACTTCCCTGGAGTACTGGATGAAGTCCTGGGCTCCCCTGGACAAGAGGAATGTGGAGCTTCTAGAGAGGATCCAGCGTAGGGCCACGAAGATGATTAAGGGACTGGAGCCTCTATCGTATGAGGAAGGACTGAGCGAGCTGGGCCTGTTTAGTCTGGAGAAGAGAAGACTAAAAGGGGATCTGATCAACATGTACAAGTACCTGAGGGGGGAACGTAGGGAGGATGGGACCAAACTCTTCTCCATGGTGGCCAGTGATAGGACAAGGGGTAATGGGTACAAGTTGAAACCCAGGCAGTTCCATCTCCATGTGAGGAAGAACTTCTTCCCTGTGAGGGTGCCAGTCCTGGCACAGGCTGCCCAGAGAGGCTGTGGAGGCTCCTTCTCTGGAGATCTTCCAAACCCGCCTGGATGCCGCCCTGTGCCCTGTGCTCTGGGTGTCCCTGCTGGAGCAGGGGCTTGGACTAGATGATCTCTAGAGGTCCCTGCCAACCTCAACCATTCTGGGATTCTGTGGTTCTGTGATCTGACAGCAGAAGGGTACATCAGGTCATAGTGAATTCTATGCTAACAGAGAGCCTAGCCAGCCAGCACAGATACAGATACCTCTGTTACTGGCACTGATGTTTGCTGATATGAAATTCCCTCATAGTACTGAATTAAAGATTTCAAGTAACAGTGAATCTAACATGCTTTGCCTGTCTCTCTGCCTTATCTACCACTCTCTCAATTGTTGTTTTTCAAACTATAATAAGGCATATAAAGATTGTGCTTAATATAAATTGCACTTATGGGTATTTTTTAGAGAATTTTCTTCTGGGGCAAGACCAAGTCCTTAATCTACTTGCTTCATTTAAGAATTTGAGAATTCTTCTCTGGAGATGTTTCTAAGGAGAGTGTCAGTGAAGCTTCAAGAATATTGAACAAATTGTTATCCAGTGCTCTGTGAGGTCTCACCTCTCAACAGAGCTCCTGTCAGAATTCAGATTATTCAGAGTCTTTCCTAGATTCTCTAGTGTTTGATATTGTACCTGAGACATGCTGTACCTTTTCCTTTACTGGAACATCACTTCAGGCCTCTCACTTCCAGCTGCACCATTTTTATGGAATTTGTGGGAAACCTGTGGCTCTCAGAGTCCGGGTGATCTGCCAGATTTGTTTGAAACCCACCAGAAGGTTTAAAAGGTAGTGGTAAGACTAGTGGGATAGTGGACAGAGACATATTAGCCTTGTTTCCTTAGGAAACTGGGCTGACAAAAAGCTGTAAGAGTCGATGAGGGAAGATTCAAGGTCATCCTAACCTGTTTTGACCCGTCATCTGAAATCATGTTAAACTACAAGAATAAAAGGTTAGAAGCTCCTCTGTCAGTTCAATTTGCTGTGTTGACTCTAGAATACCTAGAGGAAAACACGTTTCTGGTGATGAGCCTAGCATTTTATTCTGTATGCAGCAGGGAATTCATGTTCATAGACATTGCCAGGGAAATTAATGTTTTAGCATATGTCAACAATGTGATTCATGAAGCGTAACATAACTATTTTTGAAAATGGAATAATATACCCCAAAACGTTCTTGAATCATCAGCAAAGCCAGTTTCATGGCACTGAATGTTACAGTGATTATTTATCTTAGGCTAGATAAGACACTGGGTATCCTGGGTCCCTAAAATACAATTAGATTTTTTTTTTTTTTTTTTTTTGAGTGAGGCCCTACAATCTTTTCTTCTCCCCATCATGCAGTGATTAGACTACAACAGTATCAGTTGTTTCCTCAGAAACAGCTTTGGGGAAAGATTATTGACAGCCCTGTCTCTATTGCAAGGTAGATCCTCTGTAAGAAAGTTCTTTGACTCAGAAATATGTTTTTGATATCTATATTGACTTGTTTGTTTACGATATTTCAAATAAGAAAAACAGGAAAGTTGTAACCCAGAGACAGAGCACACGATATGGTTATCTAAAGTATGAAGAACGAGTTAGGATGAATTCTGCTCTGTTCTCAGCCTCTGATAGACTAAATAATAATAGTTAGGTTTTAAGCTGCAATTCGCTGAAGTCCAGTTGTAAAATGAAGACTTGTAAAGTTGGCTGGCCAGTGAAATAATCACGTTACATTAACATAAGGATTTAAATTGACCAAAAAGATCTAACACAAGCAAGAAAAATTGACTATGTTTAGATAGCAGGTAAAACCACACAGGTCCATTTGGGAACGGTCGTAGTTACATTGCAGAGTCCTTGTTTTCAGTGGATAAATTGAGCATTTTTTCAGTTCATTAAATATGAATAGCTCCGTTGTGTAAGAGGGAAATACCACGCCCTGAGTCCAATAGATTTCCATTGATATGAATATGAAAGGTACATGAAAAGTGTAAGTACAGAGGAAGTGGAATTAAATGATGAATTGATCGACAGTTTTCTTTCATTATTAATACTGAGTTTTATTACAGATCACTGTCTTAGATCTGGATGATCAACATCTCTTCAAAATTTCCAACTTGGAAAAATTGGAACATTTAAGATGGGCATCATTTAGCAACAATAATCTCACCCAAATAGAAGGTCTAGAATCTTGTCTTAATCTTGAAGAACTCACTTTGGATGGAAACTGCATTTCAACACTAGATGGTAATACATGGTAGTGATCGTTTAGGCTGTTACACAATAGAAATATGTTTTTTAGTGAAATGTTACAGAGCATGATTCCTTAGTTGCTGCCATTATTTTTCAAATATTGAAAAATCTGAATTTTAGCTTCTCAGTGTATCTTTAACAAAACTGAAGGGAGGGAATTAGGAAAAACATTAATTAGAATTTATTTTTTAAATATGCATGTTTATAAATGTTTGCTGTACAGCTGATCTAACTACTATTGCATGAATGTTATATATTCCCCACATGTATCATGGCAAACACTGTTATTGTTACTGATTTGAAAATCAGGTCTCAAGTCTTCTGTGAGCTGTGAATTCTGTGTGAAGGTGCTAATTAACTTCAGTTCCCCTTCTAACTCCCAATCCGTGCTCCCAGATGTGATGCTGGTAACTCCCATGTTCCCATTCCTGGAATTTGTTTTACCATCCGTGTTATCCACCCTTTTGTACAACTCACTTTATGCTGAGTATATTTTGTTTGTTTTTCAAGGAATTTCAAAGCTCACCAAACTTACAAGACTTAGTGTAAATAACAATCATCTCACCAGCCTGGAAAGACACGTGTTTCAAAATCTGTCTCATCTTCATTACATCTCCGTTGAGAACAACAGAATCACTTCTTTAATTGGCTTAAAGAAAACCTATTCCCTAATAGAGCTATACATAAGTAATAATTTCGTTTCTACCAATCAAGAGATACACCATTTAAAGGTAAATATGGATTTATTATTTCAAAAATCAAATTGATTTTTATTTTATTAGAAGTGCCATATATCCCCACTTTACATTGAAGAAGTTATACTTGAAAACATATTTGGAGGTTCTGCCCATTAGTGCTTATGTTCATCCAAGCTTACATTTGAACCCAAAGTAGTTAGAACCTTGCTCATTCCTAAGAAGGAGGTACTCAACCTTTAGTTGGATTGTTTCTGAAATTTTTTGCCGAGTATGAGTATCATGCATGCCTGGTAGGCTAAATAAAGCCTTACAATCCATGGAATAATTCTGCAAGTCATGTCAAGTAAGGAACAGCCACACCTGCAGCAATTTTAGTTCTTTTTGGCTTGCTTGGAATGCTAACATATATTTTGCAAACTTTGTTGGCTGGATGCAGACACTCATTGGAGACTGATGTGCTAATTCCTATTTATGTTCAGACTAAGAACAGTGGGGGAGTACAAAGCTTTTAAGGAAGCGTCAGTATAGTTTACACTCACTTGAAGGGCTTTCTATGTGGCTTGAGCAATGCAAAGACATTTTAATCTAAACATAAAAGTTTGGATTTTGTCAAGTGATTTCATATTTTTGACTCATGCAAATGACAGGAGAAAAAAAAGCTGAAAACAAAGTAGTCTGAATGCCCCTGTATGTGCATATTTTAAAATGATTAAAATCAGTGCCTTTTTTTCTTTTCAGGGTTTAACTAATCTGATAATTCTGGACATGAATGGAAATCTAATAGTCTGGAAACAAGATAACTACCGATTATTTGTATTATTCCATCTTCCTTCTCTCAAAGCCTTAGATGGCACTGCAGTAGTAAGTTATTCTGTATGCAAATTATTACTGTAACTTTTGTTAAAATCACTCTTTTATAAATCAGGACCTTGCAAGTTGGACTGGCCAATATCATATGTGGAATCTCTTCATATTATCTGCTTCTGTCTCTCATTAGTCTTGAGGTAGAAATTATCTATTTTTAACAGTACCTGGCATAACAGGGTTCTTTCTGGAATTTTAACTACAATTATGGAGCATTAACACTTCTAAAATCTATGAAATCAGTGTGCATTACTTACAAATCTATATTTCACACAAACTCAGAGCACACAGATTGTCCCCATGAATTTGTTCCTTAAGGAAAAGCCAAAATGACACTTTGATTCTAAACATGTTTCTTGCTTAGGCTGCTATAATAGTTCCAGATCTGCATTAATGTAGCAGACCAAATTCACTTAACAGGATCCAACTGAAGGAGAAAGTGCAAGAGATTTGTTTGGAGGCAAACTCACCTCTGATATGATTGCAGATAGACTGGGACATTCAGACTTCACAGAAATGCAAGAATTAAATTGGACAGCCTCTCATATCAGGTGCAGTACTTTTCAAAAGTGCATTATCTCTTAAAAGTAGCATTTAATATAATGATTAGAATGTGAAAATCTAAAGGCAGAACCAGTATTTAGCAGATATGGCTGATATCCCCTACTGTTCTAGGCAAAGTTCTCTTTACTGATCCCTAAAATGAAAGTAATTTTACATCACAAAAAGTTATTTTCCACTGCTTCACTGAATACTTCCACTTTCATGCAGAAGGTGGTGCTGCCTGTGAAGCTGACAGAAAATAGAGTACCTACTCCAGGGCAGTATCGAGAAGAGAGATCCTCTTGTATCAAAACCCAGTTGGTGGGATTTCTTTCAACCTAAATTTGTTCGAAGCAAGAACAGGCACCCTGTATTTATGTGCAGTGCTGTTTTTTCCCATCCTCTCATTTCTTAAGGAGCTGCCTTGACCATCATAGATGTACCGGAACTTAGAGCAAGAATGACCTGTGAATGATTGCATTAAAAGCATCCTTAGCCAAACAATATTTGGCCAAACTGGAAAGTGATGAAAACAGCCCAAGAGGGTCAGAACTCGTATTCCACTAACGTGCTGTAGAAGCAAAAAGAGTAGAGTTTTCAGGTCCTTGCCTTCAGTGCCAGAATTAAATTAAGCATTTATTAAGCAATTGTTTTGTTTTTTTTTCCTGAGGTTTTCATTAGGGTATTTCTTTCGTACAATGTTGAAATTCTTATGCCATTGTGCTAGGGATCTGCTTATGCTATATTATCTCCCATATTAAGATATATCTTCTGTATAAGATATATATATATTATTTAACAGTGTTGTCTGTATTCTAAATTCATAATTATGTTCTTTACTTGATTCAGAACTGTAGAGCTGGTGCCAGCAGACCAGTTCAGAAATGTCTGCAGCGTGAATTTGCAGAACAATAATCTCACATCTTTCAGTGGTTTAATCTTCCTGCCTAATGTCAAGGTGAGTTTGTGACATCATCTTTTCTATAAAAATAATACTACTGATAAACTGATTTCCTGTGATAGAGGAAAAAAAATTATAAAAAGAAACAAATAAAAAATACCCTCTAATCTCCTTTATTCCACTGTTGCTTGTGGGTTTTGTAACATCATTAATCAGTCAGCACAAAGCTGATGAGGAGGAAAATGTACGCTGAATTGCAACTGCTGCAGTAATTTTATGATATTGTTGCAGTAAACTGATTCAAAATGAGTGAATTGCACCAAACTTTCTAAGCCCTTACCACTTTAGATTGAGCAATCACCTTCTAAAAATCAAATTTCTGTAGCAAAAAAAGCGTAATCGTCAGTTTTGTTAATGTGTTGACAGAGCAGCATTCTCTTTCATTGATTATGTTTGGTTTGTGCAGGTGTTGTGTCTGAACTACAATCGCATTGAGTCAATACTGCCTAGGCAAAAGCCCCCAAACCAGCCGACAAATAGGCAGCAGCTGTACCAAAAGGTGACCTCTAGTGGCTATGGACAGCAAGGACTTTCCAAAGGAAGGAGGTACCATGAGCTTTTAAGACATGTTTTTCTCTCTCTGTTACTAGGGAAGAAGGAGGTATCTTCCACGTCAATATCCAGGGTCTCCCTCTTTTTCCTTTCTGCCTTGAAGAAGCCCAGTAGCTTCTTGTACTTGTTTTACCCACTCATGACCCATTTGATATAATCTGGTTGACTTTCTTTCCTAGGTTCTTTCTGGGCAACTGGTTAGGTCACTTCTTCATCAAATTAATTATTCCAGTATTCTGCCGTCTGTTCTTTGGGTCATATTGCATAGATGGGTAGGCATATCTTGAAGTTTTTTCGTCTTCCTACAAAGGAATTGATTCTGTGTAGCAGAACCACCTACCTCTCTCTAGCCACTATTTTGATCTGGGAGAGCAAGGGCAGAGCATGAGCTCTGATCAGATTGATCATTGGTATCTATGCTTGCAGTCTGTGGTTAGATTTGCATAACGTTACACTGCAGAATAATATCAGCATGAGCATTGTACTGAGAGTGACTGCACTACTTTAAGCATGATCTGTGAAAACTGAGCAGCCTCATACTGTAGAGTATTCTCCTGGCAGTCACAGCCACTTTCTAGAATCAGTGATCTCAGCAGATTCACACTATAGTAGCTTTTAGAAGCATTTTTTGCATATTGCTCTGAAGTTCCCCTGAGATATTGTATCTAATCTAAGCAATCATTTATCCTGCCAATAAACCTCATTTCCTTTGCTCATTTTATAGGTGGTATTCTTTTTCTCATCCTCTTAAACAGACATTTATACTTTCTTTTTTACTTTTGTCATCAACCTTAGGTCAGCCTGTGTCCTAAGGAGCATTTTCAAGTCACCTTTCAGTGTGCATTTCTCATCTGTGCTCCGTGTTAGGACTGAAACTTCTGGGGCTTGTCAAGATTCGTTTACTCAGTTCTTCATGGAGAAGACAACATCCGTAGCCAAATTTGGTTTTATCCTATCAGACAAGCCTTGCAAAGTCACTGTGCTGAATTCCCTCTATATATTGGTCAAATTTTGTAAAATGATAGTGACAGAGCATCAAAGAATCCTGCAAAACCTTGTTATTTGTTTCTATATTTCTCAAGAGCATGCCCAGTGCTTGTTTTCATTCTTGCTTCTATTCAGCATTGACATTATTTTATTTTTTCTCTGGGGTGTGGGAATAACAGAAATTTGTTTCAGCTTCTCTGGAGAAAAATTACAGGGAAAGAAGCACACATGGTTATGGACCTCCTAGGTTCCTTTCATAACAATGTGACAAATTCTGTGCCCATTTTGCTCATGTTACACATCTGCTCCTATATAAGAGATGAACATTCTTTACACAAATTGGGAACTCAAAAGGAGCTTGAAATAATTTTTTATTTACTACAAGAATTTCTTCTAATAAGTGGGATCTTTTTACATTAATGCCTTCCTGTTTCTTCCCCTTACCCTTTTTAAATATTGACAAAATGTTAGATTTCTTAGAAACCATTAAAACTTGGCTGATGTTCCCATGAAAGTAAATACAAATAATCCATAATGTTTCTTTGCCAGCTTTTTCAAATGAGGCTTATTCAAAGTCTCTGATTTTTAAATGTCAAGAGTTATTCAGTAGCTGCTACTTAACAGCCTTTAAGCCAATACTGGAATGTAAATGATTTCAAAGTATTTATTGAGCACTGCTGTATTGATAGTTCTTTCATCTTCAACTAGCCATGGTCTAACATCATTGTCAGGTTATTTTTGTTATTGGCTCTTTCTTATTGTCCTTCATGCTACAAGTCACTGATGTCTCCTTATGTTCATTTGCTCCTTTCATCCCTTTTTTTGTTTTTTACAATTTTTTTTCCTGCTGTGAATTTCTTTATCACAGAATCACAGTGCATTATTTTTCTATTTGTTGCTTTCGTTTTTATTTTTCTACTAAGTAGGTACTGGCTTTTTAAAAACTGCTGCATTCTATCTTAATTGTGAGTCCTAGGAACAAAACTGTTCTTAAACCTTCTGCAGTTCCCATTGACACTTTCTCCAGATGTTGAATTGGCTCTGTTTTTTTGTAGGCTTGTGAGATAAGCCTGCATTAATCACTAATATATGTATATTACATGTAATATATGTATATTACATATATGTATATTACCAATATTAACATGAATTAATATTGCATATTAACATCCTGCTTGAATATTGTTTTGTCTGTGCTGTGTGAATGTAATGAAGTTGTGACCATTAACACCAAAATTTAGTGGTTTCATGGAAGTAGAAGTTGCTCAGCACAGTGGGTCATTAGTTGGGTCATAAGGAAGGAAGGAACAAAGCTAAAATCAGAACCTCTTTTTCTCCTTGTCTTTCTTAATCTATTACCTGATGCTACCTAGTTACATGTCAGATGCAGCAGAAATCCAGCTTTTACAAGCGAATTAGTGAAGCACTGCAAGATATTTTATTTTGTCCCAGTGTCTTCCAGCTGTTGTGAGAATACACCAAAGGTTATAAATAAATATTTTACTAGATTAAACAGCAGTTTCCAGCTGTGTTTTTTTCTCATGTCGTCAGACTTCTTGCAAGCAGAAAAGTGGTTTTCTGTGTTTTATTTTTGTGGTCTGGATCCCGAAACCTTCATCTAACTTTCACAGACTGGAAGTTTATATATGGAATACTTCTAGCTCATAGTAGATTTCTACCAATTTTCATCGGATTTATGGCAGTATATATGTATAGTTCCTATGAAATCTGATTCAGTGATTAGAACTGAACTCGTAATCATTCATATATACTCTTTGTAATTTTTTGGTGGGTGGGAAATGCTGAAGTTCTTCTGACTAAGAAAAACTGTGACCTTATACTCCTGTTTATTATACCGCCACAGGGATGCAGCATTTGTGGGAAACCTGCCCCCAGTAATGCAGAGCCTGGAAGTTCTTCATCTAGGCTACAACGGAATTACTAACATGGCCCAGCTACAGCTTAGCAGGCTAAAAAACTTGAAACTTCTGTTTTTGCAGGGTAGGTAATAACATATTTTCCGTAAAGACATTCAACCATTTTAGAGTGTATCTCTTATGTTCAGGCTTTGGATTTGTCAGTCTCTGGTCTTGACCCCTTTAAGAATTATGCCCTTCCTTTTGTTCTGGCCCTAGTTTCAAGATAGAAGAGTAAAATTCTTACATACTGGGTCACTGTGCCTCAATTCTCTTTTAAAAGAGCAGAGCAGAGCAAACAGCAGGGGCCAGACATGTTTGTCAGCTTATGGCCAGCAAGTCAATCCAACTGAGGACATTTCCTCTTCACTATAAGCAATTCTGATGATAGTGGTTGACCTAGGTCTTGTTTCTCGGGAGCCCAGATTTGATTAGAAAGATATTTTGAATTAAATAGGGATTGCCCATGGATAGAGGGAATCTGTAAGCATGCCAATACATTAGAAGTGGTCCAAAACCATTCTTAGGAATTCAGGAAGTTCACAAGCTGCTTTTGGTCAAGGTTACATTTTGTTAAAAATGAATACCAAATGTATTAGAGATTATTCCATGCTTTTATTCCTGGTATAATAGGAAATTTTATCAGTCACATTGAAGGACTCGAAGGCCTCCAGTTTTTGCAGGAGTTGGTGCTGGATAATAACCGCATTAAAATGATTTCAGAAGGCTCCCTTGCTAAACAGAATGCTCTTTTGGCTCTTCATCTGGAGGAAAACCAAATACGAGAACTGAACAGTTTGCAACCTCTGGTAAAATTACAGAAACTTTTTCTGGACTTCAACAGAATTCAGGTACATGCATTTTTGTAAGTGGTGTAGATTCAGTGGGTGAAATGTTGAGGATTGTGTTCAGACAAAATTCTATGACTTTGCCTGACTAACATTACCATTATTTTCCCCAAAACATACATACTGGCTGCAGAATTTCACAGAATTCTTTTTATATGGTCTATCTTTTAACTTTTGGACAGGAATTATCTGAACTAGAAAAACTTGAAGTTATTCCCAGTCTTAAAGTGCTCTCAGTACATGGAAATCCAGTAAGTATATCAGTTTGCACTGTTATCTAAGTTAGATCTATATTCCAGTTCACACGCTTGGTATTTACCCTTTCTAAATCATTGAAACTATTAAGAATTCTAAAGTATCTCCTATTATTCTACTACTATATTTTTAACCTGCATAATGATCACATTGCCTCACGAGGCCTGTCTCACTGCTATTCCATGATCAGAATGCACTTGTTCTTAGCACACTGTTCTTCAGAGTGCTGCAAGATAAATTTAAAATGTATGTTTGCATGAGTATGTTACAGTGATGAGCTGTCCTTTCAATATTCGGGTCAGACACATGTAAACAGGGCAAAAAATGTTAAAGTATTTCTGAAATATTTGTTTTTATTTTAAAATTGCTCAATAGAAATATTTTGTGGTTGGTTTGGTTATTTTATGTAGCACTCCCAAAAATGTCCCAAAGGGGAATTTTAGTTTTCTTTTTCCCAGACATGCTTCTATTTTTCATTGAAGTATTCTTGGTTTGCCTTTTCTCTCCCTTGTTTGGGAACAAACCATTGGAACTCTGTTAAGACCAGGCTAAACTTTCTGGTTTTATAGATATATAGCTATGGGATAGCGGATGGGCAACTTTTCCACAAAGGCAGAAAAGACATCCCTGATAACCCGTAAAGGTGCAAGTGGAACTCAGTGGGGCCAAATGTATGAATAAAGTTTGTAGAAGCTTAGCTTTATGTATTGAAGTATTTGGCACTACTGAGCTTTAAAGTAACATTAAACATAAGTGGATATCAAAAATACATTTTCATTGCTGGCTTGATAAAATATGGCTTTCTAAATCAGAGCTGAAAATCTAGCACAAGGTGCGTGTTTTAAACAGACCCTTGATGATCAGGCTGAAAGCCTGAGTTGTAAACGTTCCTTAATTTTTTTACCATAAATCTGCAGGTTCTGACCTAAAGCTAGGAACACAGGGAGGAGAGAAGGTAGTGGCAGGCTGGAGCACTGATACATATGACGCAGTTATGTATGTGCTCTGTTTTCAGCAGCTGACCTAAAGGAATTGGTTTGGGGCTTGTGACGTTTTCCAAGCCAAATTTCAAAGGGTTATGGAGAAAGGAAAATGAACGGGCTTCTGAATCAAATGATAGGAGCATCTCCAGCAAACTATGAACTATGCCCAGTAATGGCAAGAACAATCATGGAAGCATTTCTATTCCTAAAGGAAAAAGCAAAACAGATCCTTCTTGGGAAACTGTTGTTCCAGGGTTTCCTTCTTTAGAAAGAAATAAGTCTATCAGGTTTAGACTTCTCCTGAAGAGGATTGAGGAGGTCATCTCAGCTGTCTCTTATTCAAAGTGTCATTGAGTATACCTCAGAGTGTATTAGTAAGCATCAATTAGTACCTGGCCATGAGGTTTAAGCACCTGCTGTTAAGAAGTATAAATTTGCCCACAATGTTTCTATTTGTCCATGCAATTATTCAGAACCGCTTAAACATTGCTCACTTATATATAGTAACTTGTGCCCAGTTGGATTCTGTTCCTAGGAGAACAGAATTGGTGTAAGATTTGGTAGAGGTGGTGAAGATACTATTAAACTGTCTTCTTAGACAGGGATTTCATTTTTAAGTTAATTTATATTTCCTTTATACAGATTTCTTTCAAGAAGAACTACCGTCCTTTGCTTTTGCTTCGACTGCCAGCCCTGCAGGTGTTAGATGGAACTGCAGTAAACACAGAAGAGAGGATGAGAGCTGACTACCAGACACTGGAACAAGTAAAACAAATGTTATAATCAAACTGCAAGACCAGTATTCAGGTCATCTATGATGGGTGTCTAATGTAGTTATCACAGCATTAAAATAGTTTTTTTTCCTTTCTATATTGCTTCAGAGAGTCTATCTGAGGTTTTCTAGGCAGGAGGAAGACAAACACCTGCTCCCTCTCTTCCTCTCAGAACAAGAACATATGATCGAGTCTCTCTATCACCCTGCCGAGCAGATGCCTCCTCTTTGGCTGTTTCCTTCACTGAATTGCCTATGATAGGCATTGCAATACAGACCAAACATATAAAAGGCTCATTAGATTCTCACAGGCTTATCTGTCTATGAATATAGATGGCACCATAGATCTTGCAGTCCAGAAATGTGACATTTACCCCCAGTAGTACCTTACATTTACCCTGAGGTTCCATGCACATCCGCATTTCCAGCAGGATTTACCCTTAATGCATGTGCTTAGGAAGCTGTAACACTTTTGGATGGGCCTAGCCACAGATAAAAAGAAGTGCTGGGGAGATATTCCATTTGCAGGTGCAGTTCTGATGAATCAAACCCCTGTGCATAGCACATGCATACCAGTGTCATGAAAGTATGTCCATGCTGAACATAAACATACATATTCAGAAATACCCATTCTTTCAGAGGGAATAAAATAGGAAATCTGGTTTTTTTTGAACATAATTCCCTTTTATCATCATGTTATTCCATGATGTGGTATCACAGTAATACTGCACAAAGGTTCTAAGACAAAATTTCAAGTGCAATATTCACCATTATCTGCTCATCTTTTTCTTGGAAAACGGGATTGTTGCCAGACGTATTCCCATTTCTCTTCATGCTGATAAATGCTTTCATAATTTTTCTCAACAATATTTTGATAGTGCAATATCATCTTCTCTGGTCTTGAAAGATTCTGTATTGTCTGCATCCATTTAAAATACTGCTACAAAGGTAGTATTTCTCATTTATTTCTTTGCCCATAAAACTGTAGTTTCATCTTAGCTCTCACTGCCATCCTATTGAGAGTGGAGTCATCTCCTAACCATCTGACATGCAGTTGCCTACCTTGAGCTGACCAGTATTGCCAGTTATCAACACCCACTTGTTCACTGCCATATTTCTGTCACTGCAGCTCCTTTTTATGAGGTGGGGCTCCATGGACAAACTACACTGTAATACCCCTCTTCAGACCTTGCTCTGAAATTCTCCCTGATGGTGAAAGCAAAAGAAAACTTGACAGTTGGGCATCTGCAGAGATCACTCTGTCATACTGACCGGTTTTATTTCTCATTATTTTCTCGTGCTCATCCATCTGTCAGGCTGTCTGCATTCATTGAATGCATTTCATCTCATTTTACATTATAAACTTGCTGGAACAGAGACTTTTAGAGGATTCGCTATCAGGTTTTCTAAATACAATAGTAATAATGACAACAGCAACTCTCCTAAGAGAGGAGGCTGAACCATCAGGAGCTTCCTACAGACAGAAGGTTCATTGTCTCTGTGGTTCTTTTTATTATTAAGATCCCACCGACTGAAAGAGTTTGTTGTCCCTACAGCAGACTTTTGTTTTCCTATGACTGCATGAAACTTCCCCAGAGTTTTATTTGAGAAACAGAATTCTTTCCTGGCAACTCAGAAGACTATAGTGTGCATTTTAACCAACCATTTCCCCAGAAGGTCCAGTGGAGAGTAACGAGGTGATCTAGAGTCTCCTCTCGCCCTGTATCTTCGAAGCTCTTCAAGTCCTCTCTTCCAGCTTTGGTTTCATATTTGTGGAACATAATAGCTAGTCTTTACACATTTGAAACCTAAGTACTGACTGGAAGCATGAGCGAGATCAGCTTTTTCTCCTCTCCTTGAGGTACTTTTTTCCTCAAACCTCTTTGCACTGTGCTTTGTGCAAGAAAAGCACTGCCAGGAGGAACCTGCACCGTGATGCTGTGATGTTTGTCTACCTCAGTTATCCCCTTATACTTACTGCCAAGATGTTCTCACCGTACCCAGCCACGTCTATGCTGTTGCTGAGCTGCAGCTACTGCAGTGCTTGCTGCACTGAATTTAATCTTTTTCCTAATATTTTATGCTCCCCAAATCTATGTGTTATGTCCATATTGTATCATTAGACCGTTAAGTTCTTGTAGCATAAACATATCATTGTCTACCCTTTAGTATGATACCAGCTTTGAGGTACAACCGCAGTAATTATTTAATGCTGTTATTAGTGATATCTTCACTGGTTTGTCAGCTCTAAGTCTTAGCATTCATGGTAGGACACTGCCCAAATCAGATAGGTTAAAATCAGTGTACATCCATGTACAATCCATGATGTCTGGAAACATCTCCCCTCCGAAATTTGCTTTCACACATCTGTCTGGCCACATTAATGTCTCACTTTGCAGATCCAGGACTAGTAAGTCAGTGTCCTAGTGAAACACATTTTGCCACTTGAAGCCACAATGCTTGTATACAAGAGTTCAAAGCACTTGTGGATGGAGTCATTTCATGTGTAAATGTTTTATTTCAAAACTGACCTGTACTTTTATTCATTGGACATCACTTAAATAAAAACATGGCAGGATGCATAAAGCAGCAGAATCATGTTAAGACAATATCTGTAGAGAAATCTGTTTTATATTCAGGTTCAGTGAAGATGTTATACCTCATTAGCTACAACAGAACTGAGCCATTTTCCCATTAGATCATTCAAGTGGAACATCACAAAAGATTTTTCAAGTTTGTCAGTTGCATTTTAGTTGTGCTTTTTAAAGTGCTTGTTAGAAAGCAGGAATTGAAACCGTATGGTATTGTTTAAGCTTAAAAAGTACTTTTGATGCTAAGCTTCAAAAGAGATTTTCCCAGCAGAAAGTAGGTTAGCACTTTGTTTAGTACTACTCCAGGTTGTCACCAGAGCATTCTGTACATAATATTATTTTCTTTTTGTCATTCTATTGATTAAATCTCTTTAAGTTTTTCAGTGCTGAATTAGAGCTGATTTGCAGGAGGCAATCAATGACCATTGTCACTGGACCGCACGCAGCTTTAACAGAATTAGCAAATCTGCAGCCTGGCACACAGCTTTGCATCGATTGCTACAGGAGGTTGTGCTCACATACTGAGACTTATGAACTACTAAATATATCTAAAGATTATAAAGATCCTTCCAAAGCTGAATTTTTATCAGCCCCTCACCAACCATCCCCTGTAATTGGTTTACATATGGAAAAGTATTGTTTTCCATCTTTCTTTTTAGTAAAATCAGCTCTAGTGCTTTACAGTAAGTTTGTTCTTGGAAGTGTTCACAATTTTGTTCCAAGTACCTGAGTTTTGTCGCTACTGATGCTTTCTAATGTAGTTTTCGTAGCTTCTGTTTTTGTCCAACAACCCATCTAGAAAGTTCAATAGTTGATCTTAAGCCAATGACAGTAATTTGAACAACTAATTCTTTACTGACAAAAGATCAGTAATTACTGTGTAATTACTATGTAATTACTACAAAACAACAACAACAAAAGACATTTCTATCATAAGGGCCAAGATATTGAATCTTTGTTTTTGTCTTTCCTTATTTTATCAAGGAATTCCAAGTTGCAAACACCCCAAAAGGCTGTGGACTTCCTGCAGTTGCAGCAAATTTTCCAAGATACACTCCTCTCAGAATACCAAAAGTGAATCTGAATGAAAACTTAAACAATTTCTTTGGCTCTGATTTTACCTTTCATCACAAACTTGAAAAACCTGTACTGACTGTGTCAAATAAAAGTAAGCATAAACAAACATTAAAAGTAAGCATAAATAAAATGTTCCTTTCCAGAATACTTCATGTAATTAGTACTCCCTCATGCTACATATTACATGGTCCATATAAAAGAGTTTTAACAAGGGCATTTGCTCTTCCCAGGGTATCTTGCACACCAATCTGTAATTAACAAATTCTATTTACATTTAAAGCAGTGAGCATCAGAGCAGGTATAATTGTTTTTTGTTTTGCAATACATTCACATGCCCATAAGTTTCTAACAAACTTTCCACAGCTAGGAAATACCTAACTTTTCAGGAGGAATAGATGTATTTTCCAGGCGTTCTTTTCCTTAGGTTCTGATCTTCAGATCTTCAGACTCAGTCTGAATCACTGATTGAAGAATTAGACTTTCAGAGTTTTCAAAAGCTTTACTTTTTTTTTTTTTTTAGTTTACTTGTATGTTAAGCAATGGGCAACAATTTCAGTCTGTAAATTAAAATTTTAGGTGTGCTAAAAACTCTAAGGAAATGATGTAACCCATCATTATTCTGGCTAGCAAAAATAGGAGGAAGAAAAGGGGAATAAGTGGAATTCTCGATGATGAGTAGCTGGGTAAGACTGCGTAGGGAGAATATCCATGTGCATTTTGTGTTGCAGATAAGTCTAAGAACCCAGGAATTATAAGAAATAATCCTCGAAGCATCCATGCAGAAAGAGCTCTTCGGCAAACCAGAGGAGCAGCAGCTAATCTAAACCATTTGGCACATCACGGTGCTACTTCCCAAAGCAGCCAACTGCATCAGAACAGCAGGGAAAATAAAGGCAGGTGAGGCTGCTCCCAGGCTGAACTAGTGCTTCTCGTTTTGGTTTTGTATCCAGGTACTTCTCGTCCTTCCTTTGACCCCTTTTCCAAAAAAATTACTTTTCTTTCTCCCAGTGCTGCCAATTTTTCTTCTCAGTTTCCAGCTCAGTTTCCACCAAAAATGTGCTTTCTCTCCTTCTTCTGGCAAAACTCACAATGCATCTAGAAAGACAGAGGAGAAAACAACTTATAGTTTTGCCACTAGAACAATGACTCTAAATTGGGTCAGCTGTTTAACAGAAATAAGCTTGTATCACCCAAATCCCTGTTAATCCTATTCCATTGATAGCTTAAGGCTATGGGGTTTATTCTTTGTTTTCAGTTGCTTGCAGTCTTGTTTTGTTAAGTAATCAAAAATATTGTTGCTTTTCTTGAAGGATTCAGTCCCAAATGGACATTTTTCTTAGGCA